AAAAATATACAGAAACCCACAAAGGAATGCAATTCAAAAGCACTTCTGAAAATTATAAATAATTATATTTGACGCATTAATATTTGATAGAAATACAATATCATTACCATGTTCTATTTACTTAAAAATTTAAAACTCGTCATAACAGTTCTGATTCAATAGAATTTAGATTCGGATTCCCTTAGTTACATTATGGCTTTAAATTTAAAACTAATTTGAATTCAATAATTTTAGATTACTAAGAAATAATGTTTGCCCCTTATTTTTAAAATTCCTACTTTCCTATTCTAATTACAATTTTGCTCCCATCACTTTATCCTTTTCCTTTGAATTTATTAAGTATTAATTAACATTAAATGGTCCCATCATTACTATTATAATTCTCAATAATCATTATTAGAGCATATAGTAATGTGTAAGATTTCCTTTGTGATCAATTTGAAGATAATTTTAAATGTTAATTCAAAATATAACATTTTTTGATGAACGAATCATTAATATTAATTTGATTTTTAGAGACCAAACTTTAAATTAATGTAGTATAATATTTCAAAAAAAATTTTTATTAATTGATTTTTGTTGTATATATTACCTTCGCGAGTTATTAAGAAAGATAATCATTAAAAATTTTTGGCCTAATTCTTAGGGAAAAGCTGAGGACAATTTTAACATCTAAGGAAATAATTTATATTAAGAATACAAGAATGGCAATCTAAAATCAAGATGTTTAAAAAAGACTCCGATACCTATATAAGTTTTTACCATGAATCATACATTTTGGAGCAACTCCTAAAATAATAAATAAGAATTTAATGAAGAAATCATTTAGAGGAAGAGTATAAATATTTCATGATATTTATTTATTACAATTTCGTTATTGTTCTTGACTAAGTATTCATAAGGGGATTGAAATACTGGAGCTACTTACCTACTCCGATAAAATATATGCTTTTCAACATCAGAGTTGAACCTATCTGAATTAAAGTTAAGAATGCTGCATTCCATTGAAAGTTCAATATAGAGATAAGTCTGCTCATTTGCCTATGAAGTATTCAATATAATCATCATTATCGGATTGATGTCTATTCATAAATTTTACCATTATTTTGTATTTTCTGCTATTAATAATAATCCATGCATTATAGCGAGCAAAATTTAAAATGTCAGTTTGACTGATATTTCAAAATTAATCAAAGACGTACATTTTTAGTCTAAAGCATGACTTCAATAGTAACAAAACTAATGATTTTTATTTATACATTACTTTTTAGCCATCTAAAAATTTTCATTTTAAAAATTAAATTAAACTATTTTTAATGAAAGAAATATTAATATAAAAAGCACTTATAATTAGCTTTTAGAAACATGAAAATGTATTAAATGTTTTTATTTTAAACAAATTCAATCTTCTTTTATATATAACCATAATCATTGATTTATATTAATTATATAATCTGTCCTTAAAAAGCCTAAAATTTCTAAAGAACTTATTCCTTAGAAACATATTTATTAAATTATATTTCTCATTTAACTATTAAATAATAATTTAATAGAATTAGAATAATGTAGAGAGAATAAATGTAAAATAGAGAGTTAGAAACTTTATTCAAAGAATTAGAGATGGATGTAGATGTATTAATTTAATATTAGAATCATTTTAGATTTGTTTTGATAAAATGAATAATTTGATTGACTAAATATTCATTAGTGATTATCCAATTTCTAAAATTAATAATCCTAAATTTGAGTATTTTTTGCCAAAACTTGATTAATTCAATTTCATAGGTTAATCCATCTTTTAATCAAACATTCTTTAATAACTTAAACAATTAATCAGTTCAACAATCAAACATCAAATTTAATTATAATCAGATTAATATCATTTCAATTAATAATAACAATAATAGATAATATCAATTCAATCTCCATCCTCTTAATTTCATTCAAAACCATTTGTTTATTAAATAATTCAACATAATTCAATTAAGTAAGACTAATATTGTTAGGCAATGGGTAATTGAGTGATGATGGACAGTATTTAATTACTTGGGATTATTCATCTAAAGAAATATAAATTAGAAAATATCAACAATTATGACAATTATTAACATATACAAAAATTTTATTTATATCTAAATTACTTATAAAGTGAGATACTTTTAATTATTCCAGTTATTTTATCACTTAGGAGGGTAAATTTCTTTATCCTCTAAATAGTTTCCTTCATAAATCTTTCAAAAAATACTCATTCTTATATAATCTAAATATTAGGGATTATTAATTAAAATCTTTTCTTAATTTACTATTCTTAAGCTTAAAATTCATAATTACTGAAATTATGAATTTCATACAATAAAGTTAAGATAAAAATAATTTAATTTAATTTTATTAGTGATATTTAGAAGTTTATGGAAATTTCAAAAAAATACATTTTGAAATTATAATTGTCAATCAATCCAAATTATTTTATTAGTAAAATAAGAATTACAATTTCAATATTGTATAGAAGTGCTTTAATATCTACTTTTTCTAATATGTAATATAACCATGAAAAATACTGAGTATCATGAAAGCTGATTTTTTAGGAATTTTACAATAATTACTAATGTCATTCATTAAGGTTTCATTCACAGAGTTTAAATTTATAATTTTTACTTTACAAAATTTCTTAGCATCATTATCACAATGGCGGATAAGAATATCTATGGCTGTAACTTTTCCGTCTATACATCTAATATTATTCTTATTTCTCACATCTTTGCGTAGTAAATATTTTTGAAGTTTTTGTTTAGTTCATCAGTTCCTTTAGATTTTAGTTGTAGGATATATATTAACAGAGAAAATTGTTGATAGGAGAATTCAGTTCAAAGCCATTTACGCACCCACATATTAAAGTATCAAAATGAGATTCCTCTGTCATCTAATAACTTAGAATCAGATTTTTATTATTCTTAATGAGAAGTTCAATAAATAAAACCTGTCAATTTAATGTTTCTTCTTGTTCTTTTAATCTATTAATTCCTATAATCAGCATATTATTATTCTTTTTTATTATTACTTTTGCTGATAGATCTCTTCTTCTTGATCCAAGCATTATAGAATACCCCTACGCCTTTTTGTCAAGGCAGACATAAAATCTAAATGATTCTGTTTCCGATATTTGATATATTTTTAATTCAATCTAATCTGTTTTCAAAGTCTTATATGAAATTTTTGTAAAAAAATCCATGAACATTTTTAATTCTAATTATACATAATAATTTAATATTCTGTTCATATATACATATTTTAATTCTCAATAACTAGTAAATTAAAAAAAACTTGAGGTAAAACAGCATTCTATCGAATTGTTTTCTCTTATAGTTAATACAAGAATTATAAAGTTTATCTTTAAAATTCAATGAGTATTTTCAAAATTCTAAGTATGAATGATTTTTGAAATGTTGAAATTTATAATCAGCTTCTGAAATAAGTCAATAATATTTTAGATATTTATTCACTTAGAAGTCTTGTGGGTGATATCATAAAAATATAGCAATCGATGAATGACAATATTAAAACTCATAGCTAAGATATAAGTGACCTTTAATGACACTTTGAAAATGGAGGCTTAACAAAATAAAATTATAATAAAGCAGCAACTTAAATTGGAGCGTATCAAAATTACCTTAAACAAAGATATGGATCCCATTTATGTAATAGGTAGATTATATAAGAAGCCTTCACCCTACATAAAAATTATCACTTACTAGATTTGCATTATCATAACACGGCTAATCCAACATTTGCTATCAGTGGCAGAATATCAATAATCATAGAAGTTGAATAATTTCTCACTATTGTTAAGTCAAGTGTAAATTATATAATAAATGCTAATTAGTTGTAATTTCCTTTTATTTAGAAATCATCGTTACTTTTAAAATTGTAGGTGAGATATCAAAATTAGACTTAAGAGATTTACTCCTTAAATTAAAATGGATTGTATTTTATAATAAAATAAAACTATTTGCTAAAGAAATTAAAATTCTTGCCAAATTTAAATGATTTCAAATTTACCGTTCATTTATTTGGGAGAAGAATAATTTTATTTATGAGAAATAAATATTTGACTTGAAATGGATAACATTAAAAAAATAATAAATCATATTTATTTCTGAGTCGATTTTAGTTTGTTATAAGACTTTCTTTAGAAAAATTGAAGATAAAGTAATTAATATTTGTTCATTATTCATTGTAAATATTTTTAAGTGTACTCAATCACAATTATTTTATTAAAGAAATCCTTTAATTCTCATTCTTGACTATATGATAATTGGAATTAAGAATGTTATTAGCATAGCTTAGTAATTCCATTCTTATTGATTTTGTAAATTTAGTTTTGACTGCAATAGTTATAAAACAAGCCTTTCAAAAGGAAATGTTAATTCCAAATCAACCTAAAATCAACAAAAATTAATTTGCTACTAGCTCTAAGATATTGAATATTAGATAGAGAGGCTCGATTGGCACAACTAAATTTAAAATCAATTTATGTTATTGGATGGTATGTTGATATTTTGTTAAGTTAGATTTATTGGCTCTTTAAATTTTTAATTGCATATACTCAATTTTATGCCGATTGAGATTGCTTAATTTTCTAGATGGATATTAGATTAAACATCTGAAGAAAAATACTTAGGATCTTCATTGTAT